GTTAATTCCAGCACTTGAAAGCTACCTCAAGCGGATCAAACTACAATTTCAGCACCCAAACGTTAATTCCAAGCTTCCTACAGCCCCCAAACGTTGATTCCAAGTTTTTTTACAACACCCAAACGTTAATTCTAACACTTGTAAGCTACCTCAAGCGGCTCACACTAGAATTTCAGCACCCAATAACACTCAAAAAGACTCCAAATCAGCATTTCTAAAACCTTCAAACCATACCCATATAAACCCAAGACAATACTTTCAAAACAACTCTCAAATCAGCCCCTTTTAAAAGCTTCAAACAACATTTTAAAAGCTCAATGACAAAACATAAAACAACTCCAAACGGCACATGTTAAGCCCCAAATCGGTGGAAGTGTAAGGAAAATAACAGTAAAAAGGACAAGCTAGAATGACATCTCGATCCTTCTTCAAGATAACAATAATATCGTACAACCGGCCAAGAAGAATCGAATGAAGCTTCGCCTATGTACCCCACAACTCCTATGCATTTACATTCCTAACACTTAAACTTTCAGTTTCTACACACATGTCACCTTGATTTTATGTATGAAAATAGCTTGCGTTAGATATGTGGATATGTAAGAATTGAATTTTTATATACCGCAAAGATCCTTTTCATCATATCAAAGAAACTCTTAAAATTTGTAATGTAACTTTTCGTGCACAAGGTGGCGTATAGGTAAACAAATTTAAGTTTGCGCGTTAAATTCGTAATTGAAACTTAGGTGTGAGATACGTAAACGTATAAGAATTCGATGACACATATGTAAACATTGATGTGTAGGTATCAGATATGCGCATGCATGAAAATTGTGTGGTACGTATGTGAATTTTCTTAATAAAAATTACCCTTTTGTAGGTGTTTGAGAACAGAACACCAAATAGAAACAATCGATGGCATGACTTGCTGTAGCATTATAGAAATGGGCATGTCACACCAAAACCAATGGATGAGCTGCCCAACTTTCAAATTCAATGTACTTTGTAAAGTAGCCACACACGATGTTATAAATTCTCAATCTCAAGAGACAATTCTCAAGAGACAAAATTTATAATGATAAATCACTGCCTAAAGAACACGTGTCATTAAAAGTGCAGAAGGACTAATGAGCTTCAATACGATTCAGTAAAAAAAACAAAAATGAAATTTATCAAAGTTATGCAGCCCATAGTTGATCATATTTTGCATTCAAATGTAAGTAGTTATAAATTCCAAAAAGACAAATCATCAATGCTAGTACAAACCAACATAATTCATCTGCCAAAATGATGCTGAAATACAAGTTACAGTGATCCTTATCAGTTTGTGCATGAGCCAATGAAATGTCACAAATTTCTTTAATCTCCAAGAAATATAGAAGCGAACAGTGGCAAACTTGAATTACTCATTAAAAAAAAAATGCAGATTGCAAGAATATCATGCCTTTGTCATCTGAGTCAGTTCAAGACGTAATCGAACCAAAAGTACATATGCAACCATACCTTCCAGTAGGAATAGAGGCTGAGCAAAGAGAAGTAAAAGAAGTTTGGCTCTGTGTTCGTTGCAATCTCGTCACTGTCTCCCTGCTAACGAAGATCGTTGAAAATTCAATTGGGACGACAATGGTTTAAGGCAAGAATCGAAAGCAGAGGATGAGAGAGGCGAGCAAGGGTTTTGGTCTTCGGTCGAGGAAGGAAAGCAGGCGTCAAATGCGGGGAGAATGGAAGCAGGTATCGGTTTTGGCGCAAAGGAAGGAAGGAAGGAGGCGAGGGCTTCGACGAGGGCTTCGACGTTCGCAGAGAGGAGCGAGGGTTTCTCTCGAGCGAGGAAAAGACGAGGTTTCCTTTGAGCGAGGAAGTGGGAGGCGAGGCAAGCGAGTCTTGAGCGGGGGTCTTTAGCGCGAGAAAGGGAGATCGCACGAGGGGGAGGCGAGGCAGGTGAGTGCGGGAGAGGGTCTCGAGTGTGGCTTCTACGCGAGGAAGAGGGAGGCGAGGCAGGCGAGTTTCGAGCGGGGGTCTTTGGCACGAGAAAGAGATCGCTTGGTGGGGAATTGAATACTTTCCTTCGATGTAGCCGACTCAAAGAATAAAAACAGATTATTTTCAATTAATATGAGTTTTAAATGCTCCCTTTGAATTTCAAAACTCAAAATTTGAAATACTGTGAGATGGTGATTAGCCCAAATCGAGCCCAAGTCAAACCTGGGTTAAGCCCGGGCCCGCTGCTCGCTTAAAAAAAATGCTCATCGATTTCCGTGACATTTGTGTGCGCGCGTAACCCTAGCAATATGAGTGTTCTTTCTGGCTAAAATTGATGTTTCAGACTGGTCAACGCGGTCTGTTTTGTCATCCGGGATTGTCTAGACAAGTTTACCGACGGTCGGGCAAAAATGCTTCAACTTTGTACGTGGTGTAACGAGTGCGTTGCTGAGTCACGGAGGGTTCACCTAAGGCCGTCCAATCCTGTAGGAACTCATTTTTGGGCCCTTTACATGTTTGTCCTTAGCCCTTGCAACTAGAAGTTGAGTGCTTGGAACCACTCATACGAGTTCTGCACAAAAGTGAGTTAAGAAGTGACTCGAAGTTCTACGGGTGGTGCGCTCCATTACTAGTCCTCTATGATGGTCAAAAAGGGACTCATAAGGCTAGATTTTGGGTTCTTAGAGTAGGAAACTAAGACTTCACTAAAAATGAGGTCAACAGGTGGTTGGATCGTTTCCTCCTGTATCATTTGGTATTAGACGTAACCCAACCCCAGTTCTATGTTAGGGTTCTCTAGCATTCGCCCCTACCCAAGCCACTCCACAAAAATTATTCTGCCATAAAAGCTTCAACGGAAGAAGTTGAAGCTCCCTCAATCCTGGGAGATTGATGCAGGAGCTTACCTCTCGCGGTACCCTAGCAGCTATGATACTACGGATGCGTTGCAGTAACCGCGACCCCCCTTTTATATTTAATCACTTTCCTTTCATTTCCTTTCCTGATGCTTTTCCATTATAATTCCTTTCCTTCATACTTCTTTCCTATTGCTCGCCTTGCCTATCATATCTTTTTTTTATCCTACTTTTTACCTATTTTATCTTCAAATCCCTTTTTATATAGGTGCTGTTGTCTGAGGTTAGGAGGAGGTTTTATTATGGCAGATTTCTGAGTACTGTCTTTGTGGAGTTCTTGTTCTTCGGGGGTTGTTTCTGACGAAGAGACGGTGCTTCAACTGTAACTCGTTTGAGATGGTGACAGTTTCCAAGGGTATGGGTGGTGCTCCGACTATAACTAGACCCCGACGAGACATTTATCTTTTTGCAGCCCCCTCTCCTATGCAATCCAACAGTCGCCAGCTTGGTGCCCTCCCTTTGACTCGCCTTCAACAACTGCCAGCCTTCCTCCACACCTTCTCATAGGTTGTCAGCTTACTGTTCCCCTCTAACTCACCTCCATCATCGAGCCAGTCGACCCCTATGCTTTCCAACAATCGTTTACTTGCTGCTCCCCCTTTTCTGCAGTCAAACCTGTTGTCCCTTCTCCTGTTTCCTACCACTGGCCCTAGTTCCCTCTCTTTGCTGCCGCCAACAACCCCACCTGCTGCCGCCAACATCCCCACCTGCTACCGTTACCCTTATTGGAGTCTGTATGTTATGTTTTTATGTTAGTGTTGTTGTTTGTTGTCATTATTTCATGTCGCAAGAGTCTCGCTTGTATATGTTTGAATTCAGTAATAATAATTATGTTCTTTCGTGGTGGTTTGGGTCTTTTTCTCCGGTATCAGTCCTATTCATGATAAAAAAAGGAATTCAAAATTCCAACTATTTGTTAAATTCAAGGAGAAAGAAATCACCTTATAAATTCAAAGCCAATCTTCTCAGATCCAGATTACCAATCCTTAAATATATGTGAAGGTCAATTCAAAATTGCAGAACTTATTAATGGATTAAAATTTAAGGGGAAAAAAAAAAAAAAAAAAAAAAAACATAAGATTCAAAAGTCAAAATTAGATTCAACCTTTTATTGGTGCTAATCAAGCCTACGAACGTGCTTTTGGGACTAACTTGTTGGCTCCAAACAGATTGACCTTCCATCTTAAATGCTACGATAGATCTCCTTGGATTTTCTGATTGCCTCTTGGGACTATTAGAGATTGTACTCCATTCCTCGACATTATCATGATGCCAAAGTGGAACCTTAATTCCATTTGCATATACTGATCAATCTGATTCACTGCAAGGGATTTGATGGTATTGGATCTCACTTCAAGCATTTTTTTGGTGATCTCTTGTTTTTGAAACTTCCTTCTAAAATGTGGGAAATGAGTTTTATACCCAAGGGATAGAAGGCCACCTTTAGTTTTGCTTTTCACCTTTAGAAAAAAAATAATAATAAATTAGTTGGTTGATGAATTAGAGGTATTTATTATGATAATAATAAAATTATATAATCAATGTGAAGTAAAAATGAAATATATTGTAGCTCTGACAAATGCAGGAATAGAGTTCTCAAGAACTTATTGTGAAATATGCTTATCTCAACGTAGTCCAGTACAATGCGACTAACTTTCGGATTTAAGACCCAAATATTTCCAAACACTAAAAGCAAAGTGGCCGCCCTAAATGCAAACTCTTTCTTGTGGAATTGAGTGATGAGTTAGTTTGTCACTCTAGTTCAAAATCATACATTATTTAGTATCCATAAATTGTTTTCTTTTTAGGTGGATTATTTTTCCCCAGTGATTACTATTTAATAAAATTTTGGGAGAGGATTTATTTATTTCTCATGTGATACATTTCATCTATTTACCATGTGATATTTGACTGACGATGTGTTTTATCTAGTTTATATTGGTTGCTTAGAAAGTAATGGGTTGTCATTTTATTTTTATTTGTTTGCCTTGTTTGATATGCGATTTGTAGTTCCTTAGTCTGTAGTTTACTAGTTTAGTTTGAGCCAGCAACTATGAACGTTTCTGTAGTTTACTAGTAATTTAATTTGCCCCTGCAATTGTGCAGGTTTATTTGGCAATGGAAGCTGGGTATGCAGAGAAGGTTTTTGAGCTATGTGACCGGTACTCTCTTGAAGGTTTTGACATATTAACAGGTATAGAATGTGCTTCAAACTTTAATGCTGCTCTAGTAGTTATCGTATTTTTCAATTTTTCATGATGAATAAACCATATTTATCTTCCACAAGTGAGGAACAATTTGGCCGAATGATGGCTTTATTAAATGTTTATGGTAATTATTTTAGTAATGAATGCTGCTCCAATGGGCATCATGTTTGAGTAGTACTGATTCTTGGTAACCTACTGTGAGTTTTCCTTGTGGTTAAAAAACAAGAAACACCTGCCCATTGGTGCTGTTTATTCTCACAAAATTAAACAGGCATACATTATGAGCTGTTTATTACTCCTTGCACCGAATTTACCATTTTTTTGCAGCTTCACGTATGTTTTGCTTTTGCTATGAAAATACGGGATTAATATTAATTGCAGATTCATATATATTATTTTATTCACTTTACTTTTCAGTAATACATAAAAAATATGGTGCATCTAAAATGCTAGCATGCAAATGTATAGTTGTTGTATGTTCTCAATATATGGTCAGCAACGAAAGAAATGTTTTGTTTTCTTTTTGCAGGAGTTTTGAAAATCTAGATGTTTGGTTAGAAGATAAAAATGAAATGTAAATTTACGATGCTATGTACTTGTAACTCGTTCGATATAGGCAAATTCTATGTACACCACTGTGTAAAGTGTTGCTTGTCAACTTCATCACCCGCTCGCCAGCAGCTGTCACCCACCTCCTGTCACCCTCTGCAGGCGCCTGCCACCTACCATCGTCTACCTTGATCGCCACTGTCTGCTGCCTTCACCATGGCTACCCGCTGTTGCTCATCCATCAGCTTTCAATGGCTGCCATGTTTTTGCCACCTAACACTTTGGCTGGATGCTGCCGCCACACCGCCACCTACTAGGAGCCTTCGTGCCTGCTCCATCCGCCACACATCGCATTTGGCCGCCACCCTCCGAGGTTGCTGCCTTCGTTGATCGTTGTATTTTACATTGAATTTATTTTTTATCAAACCAAATAAGAAAAATGTAAAGTCCTGCATTTATTTTATATTGAATTAACAACTCCAAAGTATTTCAAATATAATATATTATTTTTAAACTGCATTCGTTTTTAAACAAGCCAAACAATCCCTTCAAGATATTGATTTAATTTGTTGTGACCCATGTTCATATAATTCTTTCTTAAAAAGAATGAGTATTGTTTAAAGTAGACCGTAAAATAACCAAAATATTTTGTACATGACTCTGTTATAGGGTTCCTAAAAGTGTTTAAGGATTTGATCTGGCTGGGCGATGATTTAGAATGACAAGATGAAGAGAATGTGCAAAGTTGGTGGAGATTGGAAAGGGTAAAGGAGATCCGATTGCTGTCCAGAGGAAAGACAACAAGTAGTGCTGGAAATGAGGATAACTGTGAGGCATAGAAAGTTTAGGGAGATCCACCACCTAATTTGACTTGATCTACAATCGCACCACTTGTACGAGAAAAAAGTACAATTCTCTTTAGGGTAGAAATTATAGAAACAATTTATAAAATGCATAAAACAATCTAAAAATTATTAAAATAAAAGTTATCATGTTCATATGTTCCAAAGAAAATTAAGCTTAATAGCTCAAATAAGGTAAGTAGAGACCCTTAAGTAGGGCAGACCAGCCTATGGGGGTTGGGATCGTTTGAATTGTTCCCTCCATAGACAGTTTCTTCTTCTTGGGTTTTCTTGGGGGCAGACAATGGGAAAGACTCATGTCATTCTCCCTGAGTAGGGGTGTCTTCACCTTCTTCACTTGAAGCAACTGGATGCTCATAATACCGTGATATATCAATGATGTTGAAAGCAATAGAGATGTTATAGTATCCAAATAGGTTAATTTTATACGCATTGTCATTAGTCTTCTTGACAATCTTGAATGGGCTGTCAGCTCTTTGCTTGAGCTTCAAAAAATAACTTGTGTGGAACCTCTCACTTTACAATCTCCTTAAAAACTTGAAATTTTCTAAACTTATTAGCCAGCTTCTGGCACTTAGTGTATTATTTGACAATTTTATTTCTCACTTGTTCATGAAGGGCCAAATTTCTCTTACTCTTGCCTCACATTAGTGCTTAGCTCAGTTGTAGAGTATTGGCTCTAGCTCTAATGATGTGGGGGTTTCGCTCATATTTAATCTCAAAGAGGTTGTGACCTATAGACTGATTGGTAGAACAATTATAAGCAAACTTGACCAAGGTGAGAACCAAGTTTAACTGTCTGATAGTTTTGTTCAAAAATCATCCGAGTAGGTTACTTAAATTGCAATCCACTGCATCCATCTGTCCATCTTTCTGAGGGTGAGTTGTAGAATTGAGCTGAAGCTTTGTACCAAGCTTATTCCATAGTCATCTAGAAATGACAAAAAATTTCACTTCTCTATGTGACGTGATAGTCTTTGGGCACACTATGCAGGCAAACAATCTCATTGAAATATAAGTTTGTAATGTGTGAAGCATCTATTTTCTTGTGGTAAGACATAAAGTGTATCATCTTGGAGAAACGATCCACAACTATCATAACTGCCTTTACTGTGTTGTGCCAAACATAAACCCACCACAAAGTCCATATTCATTGTCCATCTATGGTAGTTTCGGAACTTATATCGGTGTGTAGAGTCTTGTATTTTCCATATGGTCAAGTCTTGGCTGAATGATAGATTCTACATTGCCTTAAATATCTCTTCACATCTCGCATCTGTTTAGGCCGATAAAAAGTCTCTTTCACTAAGGAAAGAGTCTTGTCCCTATCCGACCATTCTCCCATTATGACACTCCTATAAAATATATGTGCTGAGGAACTTTTAGTATTGCATAATCTATTTTGGAAAAATAGATAACCATTTTATCTGTGATGCTACTCGTACGATTTGTCTTGACAACAAGTCCATATTTCCTGAAAGTGCTCATCAGTGGTATTCATATCCTTGAACACTTCAAAGTCAATTATTTTAGATTGCATAGTAGTGATCAACAAATGATTTCGTCTCAATGAATTTGCTACGTTATTTTGACTTCCAGCTGTGAGCACAAAATGGAGTGAAGAAATAAATTCCACTCAGGAGATATATCTACCCTTCACCTGTCCTAACTATTCAAAAAGCTCAAGATCCCTTAATCAATGTAAAGTGTGAACTAACTTAGTCATAAATAAACGATTGAGAGCTCTCGCAACGACATAAAATTTTTTATCTTAGGTGGATTATATTTTTACGAAGTCATTTAAACTCTCATTAATGAAGGCAATACATTATCCACTTTGACTCAACACAACTCCAATTCCCATACTTGAGGTTTCACATTTCATCTCAAATACTTGATTAAAATCTTTCGGCACCAAGTCACACTACACCTGCTTCTAAAACTTATCTCCAATAGGAACGCTAATATGTATTTATTTTCAACTTGAACCTCATTATCATTTTTTTCAACCATGATAAAAATTATGTTGGGTATGCTTGTGTGGTAAGTCAACTTATTTCTCATTTAGGTAGACATCAAGTTCTCATAATGGCTTTCATCAATGATAAAACTACACACCTTTTCCTTCACGATGCAATTACTGCGAAAGATATGCTGAAGCCACTATTTTTCTCGCTTGGGCTCAGCCTGCAAGATTTGTCTAATCACTAAATCTCTCTTGTCGACGGGAAGCGCTTACATTTATCTCTCACTTCTTTGTTTTCTTTTCACTGTCAACTCTTTCAACTATTCACTGCTTAGTGAAAAAGATTAGTCTCTTCTTTGGACAATTAGATACTGTGTTAGAAACACACACTTGAGACATTTTCGAGCTAGGTAGGACTTGGGAGTGTTGGATCCACCCACCTCACCACCCTATGTTGTTCTCTCCTCACGTGGGGTTGGTTTGGGCTTTGGTAGGTCTATCCTTATTGCTTGACCCAAGGACCGAGAATTTCCTATAGGGTGTGGTAGCTTTTGTGTGATAATATTGCTTCTCCCCTTTCAAAGCTAGGTTTTATACATCAAGAAGCGACCAATACGGTTGCAACTGTACCACATTGTTAATAGATAACTTTAACACTGCAAGATACCTCTCCATAGTGTGCTTTCTTCTGGTTTCACCAATTTATATTTTAGTCTGAGTTGTACAAATTAGCTGTGTATTCTTCCACAAGTAAATTTTATTGCTGCAAATTATGAAATTTTAAAAACATGTATTGCCAGTAATGTGGAGAGGGTATTTGCACTGCATCTTTCTCTTTATAACCTAGATCGTATAGTAATCTTATTCTTCCATATTTGTCGTCGAATGCATTTCATAATTTCTTACCACAAAGAAGCACTTTTCTTGAGTTTAATAGATGTCATTTTAACTCTCGTGTCTTGAGGAATATATTTGTATTTAAAGACTCGTTCTACGGTTTGAAGCCATTCAATGAACATGTTTGGATCCATACGACCGTTAAACTCCGACAAGTCAATCTTCACTCCAAAGTCATTATCTGTTTTTTGATATTCAATGTCAAATTATTAGGACATTGGTTTTCAATCACTTGAAACTTTTTGGTAGAGGTGCTAAGCTCCTCTGTGCTACCCGATGAGAACCATTATGGCTATGGCTGATCTCTCACATTTGTATTCTCTTAAATTCGACAAGCTTATATTGTAGTTAGAGAATTTCTTCGTCATTTTATTATGAGTTCTCGAACACCCCTTCGAGTTTGCCTTATTTGTGACATAGTGCTACTTCCTCACTTAAAGGTTTCGGCCTAGAGAGGGAGGCTGATTTTAGTATGGCCTAATATGGGGTAGTTTTAGGGTTGAGAATTAAGAATAGGGTTAGGATTAAGAATGGGTATTTGTTTGGGTAGAGATATTATGTTATGTAGATTTTTGGTTTAGAAGTGGGGAAAACAATCCTAAATTTTTAATTTTTTTGGAGTTTTGGATATAATCCAGTCTTTGATATTAAATGACACTGCTTTAGAGTTCCTAGAAGGTACTTGAGGATCGAATCTTATAAAGAGATATTA